CAATTGAGGACCTGGACGAGATGCAGAACTGGATAGACATGCGAGTGCCAACTGCAGAAGCAGACAACTCCTCACTCCAACATCAGCCAAGTCACGTCCAGGTATATTTATGAACACGTTCATCAATAATTCGATCAACCTAACTGTAAAGACAGCCACAATTTTCGAAAATTTTGCCGATCTTTTTTAGACTGGCCAAAGTGCTTTTCCAAGCGCTCTCAAGATAATACTCTATGAACCAGGGGCAGATCTAGGATTTTCTCAATAAAATTGACCAAATGTCGACCAAATTGACTTTCCGAGCGCTCCCAGAACACCAGAACGCACGCAAATTTTTGAAAAAGCAAGTGAAAATGACCTTTTTGGGCACTTTTTGGAAAATTTCGACCAAAACATTGCGTTTTTTCGGCAAGCTCTCCCCTTCAGAATTAATATATATTCGCGCCGAAGTCACCTTAGGGTTAAAATAATAACAAAGATGGGTCCCTTTGGTTGGTGAGGGGGTCCCCCCTAAATCAAATCCGCCTTGCTATGAACCATTGTTTTTCTCTTCGCTTAAACTTTTTGTGTTTTCAGCGGAAGTTCGAGAAGCAGAAAGCGTTTGACGCCGAAATCGAAGCAAACAAAGACAGAGTCCAGTCATTCGAGGAACTCGTTAACGGTGCGGACTAGAAACCATATTAGTCTTTCGGATATCTTTAACTGTGTTTATGGTATCCAATAAAAATTCTTTCCATGCCTATTAAGAAGTTAATAGCAGCTGAAGCAGATGCATATTTTGAACAGCTCCAACTCCCCGTTTTGCATTAGTTTTAATGATTGTTCATATTTCATTATTTAGAATATGCCATTCGGTTTCTTGTGAAAATCAAAATTTGTATTTTTAGGTTATATACAGTGCTGAGTTAAAATTAGACAAAAAGTGAACAGAAAAAAAAACTTGAGCATAAATTTGAGCATAAATATCATGGTGAAAAATTATTTTAGGAAATTCCGAATCAAAATTTTACCCCAAAAGTGGGTCATTTTGTCTTTTTTTAGTTAATCAAGAATTAACGCTAAACCCGAGTTAAATAAAAAAGTTATTTCAAAAGAAGCCTTCTTACGCAGTCCAAAAAAATTTTGGATTCGGAACTTTTCAAAAAAAATTGGGTTCGGAATTTTTCAAAAAAAATTGAACCATGTTAATTCTGGCAAAATTTTAAGCAACTTTTAATTTGTTCATTTTTTCTAATTTTGACCAAATTTGAGAAATACGCGTTTAAAGTTTCCAATATTGTTTGTTTTGTCAGGTTAATTTATTTAAATCAGCACTGTACCATCAATTTACCAATTAAAAAGTTTCGGTTTCAGTGAAACTAGACAGCAAAAAGACGACAGAAGAGCAGAAGCAAATTCTGCAGGAGAAAATGCGAAAAGTGAGCGAGAGCTTCCGACACTTGGTCACTATCACAGTTATCAAAACTTCCCGACTAAAAGAAGCGAACCGTCAACGTCTCTACTATACGGTAGTTATTAGCTGAACTAAATTCCAGATCTTTTGGCTAATAATAACATATGGACCGCTCATCCAGTGGCTTGCCAACATTGCTTACAACTCATTAAAAAACTGCTGTTTCTAAGATAAGTTAATACCGCGCATTAGATCCATTACTAAAAACATATTATAGACATTGATGGCATGGAACACTTTTCGAAGGTGTGGAAAAAACTTTCGACATCTTTCCTCCATTGGAGGGTAGTGATTTTGATTTTTGAAACTTTTGGCATTTCAATTTCTTATTTCAAAAACTCTAATTAGCTAAAAGTATTTTTCGCATGCTTATTGGGCCCTAAAATTTATGATTAAATTAGATTGTACTGGGTTTTGTCTATGAAAAAAAAGCCGTTCACCTGGTTCCTGTCGGCTAATGGAAAATCTTTACCATCTTTCGATCTTCATCAAAAATGATTTCTTGTACAGGCATATGAAGACTTCAAATTCTGGCTCAGTTCGGTTGAAGCTCAGTTCGGCGATACGAGCTTCGGCAATGACTTGGCCACAGTGACTAACCAGAAGAAGAGACACACTTACTTTGAAGAGGATGTGAGGTTGCACGAGGAGTTATTGCTCGATTTGAACAAACTAGCCGACGAATGCATCTTAGCCGAACAATTTGATCCGAAAGAGGTAACTTTCATAATTATTTTTTTCTTTGGCGGTAAAATTATTATCTTCAAAGATAGACCGCATTTAATTGTGCAGAAAAAAACGAAAAAAATTTGAAATTAAGTTTTTTTGAACTGTTTTTGGGAAGGCTAGGAAAAGAGGGCGCCATGAAAAGCTTTAGCAACCAATTAATTAAAGAATTCTTAACGCTCAGTCAGAAAAAATAGTTTCGGACCAGTCCTGTACATTTTTTGATCATTTGATAGAAAATGCTACGTGTCCTCGAAAAATCAAATTTTTGGTTGGCTGACGGATCTATATCACAATTAATCCTAAAATGTTTTACCAACGTTACTCTATAAATTTTAGTTTTTTCAGGAATAGCCCCTGCTTGCATGTACCTCTTCTTACCAAATAAAACAGAGAAAACATGCCATCGTTTCTTAGAAACCCTAAAAAACGAAACCCCTGACACTAGACTTGGGTTAATATTGTTGGATTTCGAGCAGGTCGCTTTTTAAGCGTTTCAAAAAAACTTCTAAGAGCCCAAGCTGTCTGAATGTTTTTTTCATCTTTCTCAAAAATATTTGTAAAAAATGGTGGAACTCGGATTAAAAAAGGAGTAAAAAACAAACCACAGGTTTGCATTAGCGCTTAAAATGTTACCCTCACTGGCTTTGGAAAAAAAACTGAAAACTCTTACGATAAAATAGCCGAGAAACTTCAACTCAACGAGAAAATTCAACTTACGATAAAAAAATCGAGAAATTTCAAATGTTTTGAGGAAGCCTAAAACTAAGTGTAGCTGCCATTTTTTGTTAAAATTTTTTTTAGCTTGTAAATGTCAACGAACGAAGTGAAAGCACTTAGTTAGTTCGGGTAGTTTTTGTCCGACCAGTCTCGAACGGCAAGAAAAATCATGGCGTATTGTGGATTTTTGTTAGCTTATTTTGACAACCACGAAGAAACTCGCAAGTCATTGAGTACCGCTAAACCGCATCAAATTTTAATGCATCATAATTTCTCAGTGGCGAAAAAACTATTTAGAGACTAACTTAGTGAAGAATAGATTAATTTCTCCTTTCATTGAAAAATTAAGTTAAATGACTTTTCAACTTGTGAGTGTTTGTCTAGTATTGTCTTAAAAGCACATGAAAAATTGACCGGAAGAAGTGTTTGAAAAAATGTCTGTCAATTATCTGTAAGTTTATCATCTCTTATCATCTGTTTTTTTTATTATAAGGTTACGAAAAGATCATTTAAAGCTGTTTCGAAGGTGTATTCTATTTAATGTATATTCGAGCCAAAAATGCATCAAATTTTTGTTTTGGCTTTGAAAACTTGTCTTCGGTTGTGTTGTGTTCTAGGTTTTATTTCCAACCGTAAATTAGGTACCACGAACAATCGCCATAACTGCATGGTCGATCGTCTATATTAAAGTTTTTTAGTCGTGAATCGGATGAAATTTATAAATTTTCAAAAAGTAATTTCAATATCAAGAAATACTGGTTTAAAATTTTGGTCAAAAGTCGAGCGAATAAAACGAGCGGGCTTTTATTATGCTTATAAAATAAGTTTGTAATCAAACTAAGCCGCGAAAACATATTTGTGTTCCAGAAAGTTGCTTTGGAGAATTTTTCCAGCGCCTTAATGGAAATAAAGTTTTCAAAATCCTGAAAGAAAAGAATCTGCGAAAAATGAAACGTTTACGATAACTGAATTTTTGAGAAAAGTTACTACGCAAAAGTATATTTTAATTTTTTTTACATGAAAAAAAGCTGTTAACAAGTGTTATCACCTGTTACTATGAAACTCTTAGGCTTTCGTTCATGACGCAAAAATGACGCAATTTGAAAAAAAAGCAAACTGTTTTTTTTGTGTGTGGCCGGAATTTCTTAGGGAACTTGAACGGCAACCGCGGCAATCCTTGTTCAAAGTGGTTTATTTTCATCAAAAAAAGTATTGATCATCAAAAAACGATTTTATTTTTTCGGTTTTCTTGTCTTTTTTACTTGTCATTTTTCAAGTATCTCATGCCTGTGTTCAAATTTTTAAATTTCTTTTGTTTTTAGATTGAGCAAAGACGAGAAGATGTTAATAGTCGATTTGAGGAGGTGAAAACTTTCACTGCCGACCGAAGGAAGACTTTGGATGAGGCTTACAACTTCTTCAAACTACTCTCTGACATCGCAATGGAAGAAAGTTGGATTTCGTAAGTCAAATGATTCGACTCGCTCTCGAAAAAAATAAAAATTCCAAAATAAAGCTTTTTTCTCTGACAGAGTCAGTAAAATCATTTATCAGCAAAGAAAATTACAAAATACAAGCTACTCAGCCGTTTCCGGAAAACTATTTTGTTGCATTAATTAAAAATATTTTCAATTGCTGATTTTCAGTGATAAAACTTACTTATTTTTAGGTTGAAACATTTTGAAGAACTAAATACAAAAACTGTCGAAAGAACTCAAAAAACATCGAATAATTAGAAACTATTAAGACTCTGTTTGCAGAGAAAAGAGCAATGTGCTTGCGAAGAGTACAGACTTCGGCCAGAACTTGCCAGGGGTGGAGAACCTAATCAAACGCCACAAGAGACTCAAACTGGAGATGGAAAACCACTCCAAGGTCGCACAGGTGGGTCAAAAATTCAAAATGCTGCCGAAAAAGATACTAAATTTGACTCCTTTCCAGTTTCTGACTCTTCGTGAAAATACGATGATGAACAAACTTCACTGCTCTGATTGCATTTTTCGTATTCGCTTAATCTTAGAAAGCTCGTTTTTTTTTGCTCGTAATGTGTTCATGAACGTGAGAATTTTGTCCATAAAAGAAATCAAACAGGCAACTCGTCCAAACGACAGTTAAATTGGATCAACCAATTGATAAATTTTCTACCTGCGCAAAACTTTGATACTATGCTTCGTTATCTAAATTTTCAACTGACTGAAAAGACTCGTCAATTATGTCGTGAATTGGGGCGAAGCAAAAGAATTAATTAGTATAAAAATTTATATTGAGATCGATTAGAGTGATGATTTTCCGCAAAGTTAGTCCCTATGTAAAATCCTTGTCACTGAGAAAAGTATACATATAAAAACAAGATATGTCTTCAGGGTTAAATGTCTTATTCATGATGTCTAATTCTAATTCAGGATGATGTTCCCGTAGGTTAGACTCGAACTAGCAATATTAATATTAAAAATAGAACCAGATCATCTTTAGTTTAGCTGCAATATTTCATGTAAGCTCATAAATTTCTTCTTTCTAAGTATCAACTAGGCGTCTTAATTTGGATTAATTCTCATGCCATAGCTTTTAATGTCGGTCAATTTTTCAGGCACTGAAGCCGATACTCGAAGATATTGTGGTGAACGATCTGATTGGCTCTAAGATGGCCCAATCACGCTACTCTGCTCTGATGAGTCAATGGGAAGAGTTCTGCAAGAAGGAACAGAAACGGTCAGTCAGAGCGAAAGCTTTCACTTAGGCTCCAATCACTAACTAATACTCCTGACACTTTCTCAAAAATTTGCATGCGGAGCAGAAATAACAGTTTGAAAAGGGTCTTAGTAGAATTTGAGGACAACGTTGACAAATAATGACTCAGAGCCCTACTAAAACAGCCAACTTTTCCCCTTAATTGTTTGAGAGGGCACGGTATTTACTGATTTTGACCTCAAAAACGATTTCAGTCGACATCGAAAGTGAACACATTTTTTTTAATACTACCGCCCAGGCTTTGACTTCTATGTTCTCGTTACTCATTGTATTTCTCATGTAGATGAGAATTTTGAAGGAGTAACCTTTCATGATTTTTTCATTTCAGCGATAACTTGCTGTCGGAGTCGCGTCTGTTCCACGAGCTGATTCGAGACGTAGATGAATTGAGAATGTGGATTAGTGAAAAAACGCAGTTGATGCAACAGGTTAGTCAAGAAGCACTCAACTAGTCAGCTATATTTGAGAAAAACTTTTGAGGGTTCCAATTAAATAAGTAAGCAAGTATATCCGGTTACTGTGCAAGTAGCACAGAATGATCCGACCACAATCTTTAAAAATCCACGAAATTTTTTAAATTAAATGTAGTTTTTTCTGCGTGGTGTGATAGAAATATCTGACAAGTAGCAAAGAATACTGTGCAAGTAGCACAGAATGTTCCGACCACAATCTTTAAAAATCTACGAAAAAAAATTCTATTAAATGTAGATTTTTCTGCGTGTTGTGATAGAAATATCTGACAAGTAGCACAGAATACTGTGCAAGAAGCTCAGAATGTTTCGACCATAGTCTTTAAAAAACTACGAAAAAAATTCTATTAAATGTAGATTTTTCTGCGTGGTGTCATAGAAAAAACTTACATATTCAAGAGTCATACCATAGTAGTATCGGCAAACAGAACAAGAGTTTTTGAAGGAAATTGACTAGAAGAAAAAAATTGCTAAACTTTTTAAGTTTTTGATTCCCAAGAGGCCTTAAAAATGTCTATAAACTAATTTAACTCGAGTCAAATGAAAATCAAGCATATTTAAACTATCGTGAACGGCCTCAACTAAGCATAAATAAGCGTGCTCGCTCGCTTTATTCGCTCGCTTTATTCGCTCGAATTTTGGCAAAAAATTTTAGAATTTTCCAACCGGTTTTTCTCAACTCTGGGAAAACTTTTCAAATTGAAAAGGCTTTAATGTGATATATCAGTAAACTCTCTCCGATAATTAGTTGTGGTAGCTGATTTTACATGGAAAACAAAAAGAAAAAAAAAACACTCAAGAATACAAAGTTCTTCCCAGCTACGATTTCAAACCAGTTTTTCACGATACCTAGACAACTTTTCAAAATTTTTTTTTGTCGATCGATTTACGAAAGGTCTTGTTTATGATAAATCACTCGAAAAAATTTTGATAATTATTTGTTGAATCTCTTTACGTAAAAAAGAAAAAAACCGAAAAAAAACTAAAGCACGCCTGAAGACAAAATTCCTCCCATCCTTAAAGGCCCGAACAAGAAGACTGCTCGCACCAGGGCAAAACCCTGAAAATTCCAACTGCCCACTAACGTGCTTCCATTGTTTTTTGATTAACTGAAAGTTTTGATTTTATAGGTGTTTTTTTGTTTCCTTACAGAGATCTCAGGTAAAAAATATTTTTGTTCTCTAGGAGTAAAGGAGTCAATGTCTTCATTAGCATGTAAAACATTTTGTTCAAAACTATGATTTCATTGCAAAAATTGGTCTCAATAAAAAAACTGATCCTAGCATGAAGCGTCGAAAAATTTTTTTGTCATTTAAAACTTTGGACGTTCCAAACATTTGGGGTTAGAAGTCTTATTTTTGTTAGTATGTTTCCTTTTTATTTTTTCCGGAACACTAAGAGTAACGAAAACAAGAATAAAATATGGGACAGCAATTTATTTTTCATTTTTTTTTAAGATGATTTCAGATTAAAATCACTCAATACTGTTTTTATTAATTCAAAACAAGAAATCGACTGGTATCTCATAACAACCTCTCAGACGATCTTCCAATTCGATTTCCTTTACAGATTTGAGTTGGCATACTGCTAAAACATCCTTAGTTCTATAAGCTATTTTTTATTTCAATTTTGATAGTTGCTTAAAATTTGTGCTAGAGATGGTTTTTGTTCAAAGCCACAAATTTAAAGATCTACATTTACGGCCTACTTTTAAAAAAGTTTTAGGGTGTTGGTTTTGGGATTTTTTTCCACTTCCGCAGTTGAAAAAACGCGATCAATTTTCAAACTCGAAAATGGATTTCAATTTTTAGTTTTCTCTGCGGAATTAAAACTTTTCCCATTGATCCAGTTTTCCTAAAATTGGATTATTTGGCTTTAGGAAAAAAGCCAATCATGAACAGATCTTGAAATATAAAACCTTTAAGCCTGTCGTTTCTGGCTTGAAGATTAATAAACTATTGAATTGTTTTATCGAAGTTATCGTCAGGGTGTGTGTGTGGGTGTGTGTTGTAGGATGACTATGGCGATAACTTGGCGAGTGTGGCTGGTCTGAAGAAGAAACACGAGGCTCTGAAGAAGGACATTGCAGATCACGAGGAGAAGGGGTCCATGCTGCAGATGAGAGCAGACAAACTCATTCAAGAGGTATGACGGGGTGTAATAAATGCCTGACTACTTTTTTTTCGAAAGAGAGCCGCTTCAGATTAGTGATAATGAAAGACATCCTCAATTAAAGGCCGCGCTTGTTCGAAATTTAGAACTACTTTAACTAAACAAGACTTATTTTTGAGCAGATTAAATTAGAAGACTCGTCTTTCATTCAAAAAAAGGGAAAAAGGGGGCTGTTTTATACTATGAGGGGTGGGGGGCAGGACTGCCGAAACGAGTTATGCGAGTAATGTAGCGACCATCTCGATTGAATGAAGATATGACGCAAATTGCACAACCCTATGCTTTATGCAAGGTCTACTATGCCATTTAGAAACGAAAATTCAGCACAAAAATCAAGCTCAAAAAGGAACCTAAAACTGACAGAAACTCAAGTTTTTGTTGAATGAAACTGCGATTAGTTGAAAAGATTGTGATCAATCATCTTTAAATTTTAAAACGATTGGTGTTTTTTGTTCTCAGATTTTTGTTGCACGTACGATAACTGGATTCCTAAAACACAGATCGGTCCCTGAAGAAACATTTTTGCTGCACCCATAGAATCTGGAAGCAGCTTTTAAGTTTTTAAGCTCGCAAACTTCAATTCTTTATGAAACAGATTGGATCTGATTTTCATACTTGCTTTTCCATGGAAGACCCAAGTATAACAACTGGAAACTTTTTTCTGTATCGAGTTATTTTTTTGTATCGAATTATTTTTTTTCGGCATCGATTTTTTTTCTGTATCGAATTATTTTTTTCTGCATCGATTTTTTTTCTGTATCGAGTTATTTTTTTTGTATCGAATTTTTTTTTCTGCATCGATTTTTTTTCTGTATCGAGTTATTTTTTTGTATCGAATTATTTTTTTTTCTGCATCGATTTTTTTTCTGTATCGAATTATTTTTTTTATCGAATTATTTTTTTCTGCATCGATTTTTTTTCTGTATCTAATTTTTTTTTCTGCATCGATTTTTTTCTGTATCTAATTTTTTTTTCTGTATCTCAAATATTTTCCCTTGTGTAGGGCAACCTGAGCAAGGACAACCTGAAGAACTCCATTGACCAGTTGTGGAGTGACTTCAAATCCCTGCACAAGTTGTGGGCCCGGAGGAACGTCAGTCTCCAGGAGAACTCCGCCTACCTCCAGTTCATATGGAAAACAGACGTCATCGACTCATGGATCAGTGAGTACTATCTTGTTGTTCCCACCTTTTGAAACATGGGGAGAAACTTTGTATTCAGTTGTGTTTTAGTTTTTGTTTTCCACGTAGAAGCAAGTACCACAAATAATCATCAGAATGGGTAGAGTTATATATCATATGAGAGCCCTGTAGGTCGGGATTCCAACGACAATAACTCTTTTTCGGATATTTGTCCAAGTATCGAGATAAACAGAATTAAAATTTTAGACTTTTGGTATTAATTCGGGCGAATGAAGCGAGCCAGCAGTTTTTCAATAGCTTATTTTTATAGCTTAATAGCTTAAAATAGCTTAATTTAAGCCGTGGAAACGTAGTGATAACGTAATTGACAATTGTTTTGTATTTTGAGGTTTTTTACTTGTTTATGGAATCAAAAGTTTCAAATAACCAAAACACTGCATACAACCTTCAAAAATTTTTCGAAATAATTCTTGATTTTTTGTTTTTCTAGTCAATTTTCTGCAAGAATTACCACCAAATTTTGCATATTTTACTATGACTGTTAAATATGCCAAAGCTCTAATTTTTTTCAGTTCCTTTTATTACACCACGCAAAAAAAACGACACTGATTTGAAAAACCAATTCTGTTTTTTTTTTGAAGTCTATGGTCGGAAAATTCTGTGCTCCTTGTTTATTTACGCTTTTTTTAACCTGTTTTACTTTTTACACGAAAAATTGACAGAAAGTTTACACTCGGATGCTTTTTAGACGCCTCAATAGAAAATACCATTTTATAATACGACATGACAAAAAAACTCCCAGGGAGCAAATCGACTATCCCCAAAGATCCAATGCAACTTATCACGATCCTACGTTTATTGAGCAATGTATGGGTTGAAATCGTATCAAAAGTTTTTTGGTATAAGTTTACAACATTCCGTTTTTGCTAACCAATCCCGAAGTTTTTCTAGAGAAGCCTTTGGCGCCAATATGAACAAGTTTGAGGGGGAGCGCGCGTTAAAAAAATGCAATTTTTTTTGGTCAAAACTTTAAACTTTCCAAAAAGTACCTAAGAACGCCTTTTTTGACCTTTTTTAAATAAAACTTGCCTGCGGCGCAGAATTTTTGTTGTTAATTAGGGTCAGCATGGTATTTTCGGAGAGCTCGGAAAATGTAATTGTTCTACCTAAAAAATCGCAAACGATCCTACGATGCAACTTATCACGATCTTATTTTTATTGACCATGTATGGGTTGAAATCGTATCAAAAGCTAGTTTAAAGTGATAAAACTCTTCAATTAAATTTTTGTCATTACTGAAAAGTTTAATTTGAGGTGGCGCATTTCAAAATGAATGCTGTACCACTAATTTAATATTAAGGTGGCGTTAAACTTGCCCAAAAACGATGAAATTTTCTTACTCCTTGTCTCAATCCTTGTCTCAATAGTAAGCTCCTTGATTGTTCAATTATTCATTACGAGGCCAAGCTGTGCATTATGTGAATTGTTAGCAGATTCCGCAGCAAGGGCGCTCCCTGTGTTCTTCTTTTGTTTTTTCATTTTCTTTGTTCCAACAAAAGTTTTGACAGGTTCAAAGACTTTTCTCTGCAATCCATGAGCATACAGACAGAATATCCAGTGCACATTTTGGCCTCGTTATGATGTTTTGACTGTTTTCGATGAACTCGACAAAACATTTGTGCTCGGGTTGTTTTCTTCTACAGTCAGCTTTTGATTTTTCACTAGAATTTTTGTCAAAATTTTTGAATATCATTCGAAAGCTTTTGTTGTTTTGAGCTCAAAATTAAGAAGATTTATCTCCTGTGATCATTTTTTAAAAAATTATTATGAAAGTGTAAGGATTGCCAATTTGGCCAATTTGGGACAATTAACGAGCGATATGTTTGTTTCTGTTAACATTTAAGCGTAATTTCCATCCCGCTCAGAAATTGTTTCAAATTGGATTCAGGCATGCTCTTTGATCTAATTATTACTTTGCAATAAGCGAAGTTTAGGGGCAGTACAAAAGTGCCGAAGTATAACAATGCCGAAAAAAAAATTGTTGTTCAACAGAGCCGAAAAAATATTTTTGTTTTTGTTTTTACTCGTCCCAATTCACTGGCATGCAATTTAATTCAAATGGACAAAAATTAAAAAACACGATTGCCCATTTTAATTGCTGTCGCTTGTTAGTCAAACAAAAGTTCCCTCCATGGCGTCATTAATTTTTCTGAACAAATAGTTAGCTTAGCAAGTTGTCAGTTTTTCTAATCGGTTTCGCTCCAAAGTAAAACGATATTCACGCAAACAATTTCTAAACAAAACTCAAAGTTTTCAAAGATCATCAATTTTTGGCGCTGTTGAAAACATTTCCAGTTTCGGCACTGTATTATTTCGGCACTGTTGAACGCCCCCAAAATATATCATTTTGTACATTACATAGCGGGTGCGGGTAAGGGATCTTTTATGTTAAACGGCCCAAGGCTAGAAAAACAAAAGAAGATTGGTTCCTGGTTAAAATAACAAATTGTTTTGCGTTTTCTGTAATTTAAATCAATCATTTCTAATCTTGTTTCTCGATTTTCTTAATTTAAACCAATCATGTTCAATCTCTGTGTTTTTGGTTTTCCTTTATTTTAACTATCATTCCTCAATCAAGTCAAATCCAATTGCTGAAAAAGTTAAGCGCCGAAAATGGGCCCTATAATAGAAAAGACCGCGGGAAGGATTTTCAGAAAAAAAAACTCGAAACTTTTTTTTTTGATTTTTTTTGTTTTTTTTAATGCATTCGGAACAATCAGGGCTTCGCCCTGATATGAGCAGTCTTGTTTCATTGAAAAACATCACAACAAAGCCAAAGTCTAACTGATTTTGTCGGCCACAAATTTCCAAAAACTGTAATACATGTAAAATTTTGATCAGTTGCTGGGTAAATACTATTTCAAGTAACACTAAGCATAGAGACTAGCTCATTTGCGAAGATCAAAATATCAACTGAACCCGCTGAAAAAATAGATCATTTCAGATTAAAGTTCTTTTTTTAAGTTCAAAAACCTATCCTATTGTGGCTATTGTGCCTATACTGCCATCTCAGTCTGCAATCACGCGGCTTCTAAATAAAATCAAAAACCAAGTATCTAAGCACAGCATTTCTCCAGATAACCGTTATTTCGAAATACCTGATCACTTTGACGTTCTCAAAACCTATAAAATCAGGGTGCGTCTGGAGCATAGTTTTCCGATGCTCAAAACACAAAACTGTTTGAAACGATCCGGTATTCAGATCCAGCAGAGAACTTTACCTTACTTTTCCGTTTTTTTTTCTAAAAATTGTTTTCTGTCGGAATCATTTGTGTTTTTTGCACCGCAAACGATTATTCTTTTTCTATTGATAATCCGTAGAAAACAGTGATATCACAATACGTATCAGCACCGCCTAGTCTTAGCTCATTTGGTAAGCCCTAGCTAAAATTTTGTAATAAATGAGAACTCACGCACACCAGCGGACTTAGAGGGAGGGGGCACGGACACCCTCTTCCCTCGGGGATTCGACCCCCTGCCGACCCAAAGAATACCCCCTTTGAACTATTTTGAGATATGCAGTTGGCTTACTGACCCTATAATTTTCTAAAGGCGCCTTGGGTGCCAATATATACTAATTTTGAGGGGGGAGCGCGCGCCAAAAAAAACGCTATTTTTTTATCAAATTTTTCTAAAACGCTTTTGGCCTGTTTTTCCAATTCGCCTTCCAATTCCAAAATTTGGTCAAAATGGGGTCTTTATAGTGATTTGGGAGAGCTCAGAAAATAAATTTGGTCGACCTAAAAAAACTGTTGGCAAATTTTTACACTTTTTTGAAAATCCCCACTCGAGAAAACCCTAGATCCGCCCCTGCTCACACACATATCCACCAGATATTTAGAAAAAAAAAAGAAAAAAACTCGACAAGTATCAACATAAATTTATTCGCCTAACAAAGATGTTGAATTTCATAATCCGTGCTTGTTTGTTGTTTCAGACGACAAAAAATTGCTGATTGAGAGTGACGAGGTGTGGAGAGATCCGATTAGGACAATGGGTGACGTCATAGTCCTCATCCACCGACACGAGACATTCAACAGGTCCCTTGCCACCTTCGCCCAGGACAACATTCGGCTAATCAAAGGTATCATTATATTTATTCTAGCTTTCTTCTCTTACATTTAAACTGTGATTCAATTGAATTCAAACAATAAATGAAAATTATGTAGCAATGTAAGAATAAATGGAATGAGTAGACAGAACTCATTTCATGGCTTTTCAGAAAGAGAGTCAAAAACGGTTAGTTTGAATAAAAATGTCAATTTTTAGAGTTGCACAACAAAGTTATGAGTTCGAATGGAGTGGTGAATGGGACAAGTGTGGATTCGGAACTGCGGGGGCTGGGATTTGACTTCGAAGGGGTCATCACTCCCAGGAACAGAGAGAGAATGTCACACAGCTTTAAGACCATCATGGACAGGTAACCAGGGGCTACTCTCATCGGCAAAGGACCACATGCGCGAAAAATCTCAACCAATTAGCGCCCTTTAAACTGTATAAAACTGACTGAACTTAATGCTTAAATAGTTTTCGCGCTTGAGAGATTCCCCTAGCAAACTTCATTATTCTTTCTCGCTTTTTCCACCAGATGGGACAGCCTGAACACGAAGAGTGGGTCCAGAGGGAAAGAGCTGGAGGAGAGGCGGGACTTCTACCAGGCCATAGAGGACAAGTTCCTCCTCTTCGCCAAGAAGGCCTGCAACTTCAACTCCTGGTTCGAGAACTCCGAGGAGGACTTGAGAGAGCCTCCAAGGTGTCACTCCATCGAAGAGATCAAGGTCACATCAGTTCACATATTCGAATTAAAGTCATCAGTTTATGGCTTCTCTCGAGCTTGTGCTATCGTAGTCAGAATTTATTCAAAACAGAATTATTTTAATTATAATTTTTCATGCATTTGGATATGAATTTTTTCACATATAACACAAAAAGACATTGACAAACATTTTTGCGGGTCAAATCGCGGATTGAAAATTAAGTCCAAATTTTTTAATTGAAACCTAAATAAATACGAAAATTTTTTTGTATTTCACGAGACAAGTAAAATTGGTAATCTGAGAAAAATTTCTCGAAAACCCAGAAAAATATGATATTACAATTAATTTCTTATCCAGTCAAGGCAGTTCATATATTAGACTTCAAGATAAATTTTAACTTCTATTACAGGCTTTGATGGCAGGTCACACTGAATTCCTAGAATCGCTGGAAGACGCCAAAAATGAACTGGAAGACCTGGTCCAGCTGGACAAGGACATCAACGAGGAAGGGAGACAAGCCAACCCATACACCTGGTTCACAATTGAGGCCATACATGAGACATGGATTAATTTACTCAAAAGGGTAAGTGAATTCGCGCTCCTTGTGGATTTCTCGATAAACTTTAAATTTAATTTCATTAGATTTTTCAGAGGCAGCGATTTTTTATTTTGGAATTTTCGTTGACTTGTTTAATTTGATCAAAGTGGTTTTTTGATATCCCCATATTTTGTTGTAAAATTACCACAGTGCGCTAGTTTCGAACTTTTTTAGATAGTCTACAGACTAAATACGCGTTTTCCAGCACTCTGAAAAATTTATCACTAGAAATTTATCAAAAAGAAATTTATCAAAAAGAAATTTATCAAAAAGAACTAGAAATTTATCAAAAAGAAATTGCCTGAAGGTTTGTGCTCGGGGTGATTTTTTTCTCCACACAAACTTCGATTTTCGAAGAAAGTGACAGACTATTTACGATTGGGTGATTTTTTTTCTCCAGACAAATTTCGACTTTATAATTAGAATTTCTGAGCGCAAAGATATTTTACCTGTGATCTTTTTTTTCGTAAAGTATGAGGGTTTGAAGATTGCCAATATGGCCAATTTAGGTCCAATAACGCGCGATAATTTTCAGCATCAGCGGTTTTTGTCGAAAAAGAATCGTAAAAAAATTAAATCTGATGTCGAAGGGACAAAAACCATCCGAGCACATATATTTTATAACTTTTTTGAAAGTAGGAACATTATCCCAGGTCGACCTCAAAACAAAAAATACTTATCATACATTTCCATACCATGAAAACTTTAATGGTTCAATTCCTTAAATGGATTCTATGGAAAAACGAATCACACATATTCCATGTTCAGCCTTGCGTGAATGATGATTCTTTTTTGTTTCAACCATTGAAAATGGAGAAAAAACTTTGTAATCGGGTGTGTTTTAGTTTTTTCCTCATTTTCCAAACAAACTCAGCAACCACAAATTGTGATCTGAATGAGTGGTATATCACTTGAAAGCTTTTTGAGTCGTGATTCGAGCGGTTTTGAATATTTCCAAAAATTTCTCCCAACTTTGAGGAAAATTGGTTTAAAAATTTTCAATTTGTGAAAATTTGAGCAATCAACTGGCTAATTTTGAGCAAATAAGCAATCGAGTAACGTTCGTTATACTTAAATTGGCCTCAAAATAAGAAAATTGGTTTGCCTAAAAAGATTAATTTTGGGTTTTGAAAGCTTAAAAAAGTTTTGCTTGCTGATAAAAGTATTAGAAAAATGTTTAAAGTTATTGTGCAAAAATTTTTTTTGAAATTTTTTTTTTGCTAAGTCTGTCTGTCGATTAAGCCTGTCTCTGTCTAATTAATCAATTTTCGACGTTTCTATATACTTCTCTCATCACAACAAGCGCAGAACACGACACTAATTTCTAAAAAAAATGTAGTGTTTTATGAATGAGCTCGGAAGATTCTGTGCTACTTGCACAGCAACTGGTTATCCTTGTTTTTGTGTAGTTTATCATAAAATACTAATGCAAACATCAGTCAGACAAAAAACATGCAAGAATTTTACACCGGTATGTGTTAATTAACATTTTGAAATGAGATGATTGAGAGTTTTTTTGTTCTTCCTTTCTCTCACTTTAGTGCACTTCTTTTCTACAGAGGTTTTCTAAGTGGAGGGTTTCTATTCCTGCTGCAATATTTTGACTCCTAATATAAGACAAAATTTTGAGTTTTAGTCATCCAAAATTCGATGTCTTAGATTACCACTAAAAGCTGGTGAGTGGGTCAAATTCCTGAGGGTAGAAGTAATAGTTTATACTTCGCCTGGTTTGCTTGGTCGTTTTTTACATCGTTGAAATGCATCCTAAAACAAGAAGATGTTTAACAAGAATCTTATTAAAACATTTCTTCTCATAATGTTTTTAATGACTCAAAGTCAGTACGATGTTGAAAAATTATTCAAGTCTAAACTAAATAAAACAATATTTAATAAAGTATAAAATGTTTGATGAGCAAACATTCTCAAATAACTTAATCTCAAAAACTAGCCTTCTGTGCAAATTTTACCTGAAAATACGATCTCTTTAGAGCCTTAGCAGATCTCGCAATGTCAATGTAAACACCTTTAAAAAACAGTGAAAAAAACTTTGAAGAAACAAAACTGTACAAAGTCAACGGTGGCGTCCCTCATGCTTGAAGGACCGAATGCTTGAAATTAATTTTAGCTTACTTTCCGCCAATCAGAATTGAGTATTCAAAATCTCAAAATAAATCGTGAAAATCTCAAAGTAAGAAAATAAATCCAGGCCATTAGTGTTAATATTGACCGATTGGATAATAAGCAGATGCGTTTTCAAGACTGAAGATTTCGTAGATTTTGACCTCATTAATTTTGATAATTATTTGAATCGTATTGGGTTGTAACCCGCAATTCGTAATTTTTTTTATTGTTTTCCACTGATTTAATACATTTTCTGTTAATATTGACTTCGATTTTGTGAGAAAGGCATTTAGCCAGTAGAAACGCTTGGCGATTTTGATTGGTTGAAATTTTTCAAGCATTCGGTCCTTCAAGCATGAGAACCCTCCCCAAAGTCAACTTATTCACAAGTTTTGTTCACGTTCGCTTGATTACTGAAATTTGCTGAGTTCAAGTTGCAGAAAGCTAAACTAGCCTAATGTTCATTCTGGTGCAGGTGCAAATCAGGAAGAATGAGTTGGAGGGTGAGTTGGAGAAACAGGAGACGAAGGAGGATGTGAGGAAGCAGTTTGCGAGGGAGGCCAACACATTCCACCAGTGGGTCACTCACGCCAGACACAGTATTATGGGACCCACCAGTGGAGAGATAGGGGGCAAAGGGGGTGGAAGTGTTGACTCGATAGAACAGCAATTGGGTTAGATTTTTGAAACGAGAAGTACTTTTGGATGAAGAATCACTAACACATTTTTGCATATCTTCAACCTACAAACAATCAAGCAAAAAGTTATAAGCTAAGATGACCTCATAACTATTTTTTAGGCTATACGCAAAAGATACTTACATGTAGTACACTTGCACCATCAAGCAACAATCTGGATTGCGTTTACAATAATAAAAAAATGTTTCCAGATTATAAGCCCAAACTCATTGCATTTTATAAACAAAAATAGCTATTTAATTGAAAAAGAAACAAAGTCTGTAAGATCACCATGAGGCAAAGATGTTCAATCAGATGTATCTGATGACAATTTTTTTTAAAGTTTTATGTAAGAATAAATGTCACTAATCTCTCATATGTTTTAACTTCAAACGATCGAACATCAAATTATAACTTGAAACAACCTAAAAACGAAACATTTTCGAGTATATATAGAAAATACTTTTCTATACCTCTATAAACTTCTCGTGATTGCTATGGAAATCAAATGCCGATTAACGACTGGACCACAAAAACGATTGTTTGCTTAGCAATATAAATTCTTTGTAGAAAATTTACAAAATTTTGTGCACAAAATTTACTAAATGAAATAAGGCAACTGAGGCAACTGAGGCAACTGAAAACTTCTGAGCTTCTGTAGCTAAAATCATAATGAACTTTTGAAAAAGTGGTATTTATCTAGACGCACGGTTTTGTTTTTGACAGTGCTTCATTATTTAGCTATCAAAAGTAAAGGCTATAATAGAACGCTTTCGATTATTAACTGACGAGAATTTACTGATTATATGAAGCTAGAAGTTGATTTAAAAATTAAATGCTCCGTCCAATAGTAAACATCATGGGTGATGGCAACAAAAATGGAGTCATTCAATTTTCATTCTTTATCCGGGGTGCACTTAGAATGGTGGGCGGGGAGTTAAGAAACCAAAAAAGGCATAGAAGACGAAACAGTCTACTGCATTTTACAAGACTGTTCGTTTCAGGTGTCGAGAAGGTAAAACTGTCGTCGAGCAATTGTTAATTCCGAGATAATTATACAGTAACTTAATCTTGCAAAGTTAGCATCAAGAGTGGTTAGAAACAATATCCAAGGGTGACAGACAGATCCAAGGACAAACACCTGCTAATCAATTAGTCTAGCACCAATAGTGAACATTTGATTGACAGCTTTGGAAATGAACTAAATTACTCAATACGACACTTCTCCTTCGATAATGAAAACTTTAGTTAAGTAGAATAATTTCGCAGGTTTACTTTAATGACTGAAATAGATGGTTAGAAAAATAGATGGTTGATTGATTGCAGATAGTTGAAAAGAATTACTAGCTCCATGTTACAGTATACAACTCAGACTTTATAATAACGACTTTTTGTTAATAACTAAAGGATCACTGATAGTGATAACGATTGAGTTTTAAGCCAGTAGTGACTCACCCTCTCCCTGGGTTAGAACAGTTTAACAAAGTTTGAAGTTAAAGGATTCGACGATCAATTTTTCCCTTCCTTGTTCTGATTGATAAAGTCGATCATTACGCCCCCCATTTTGGTGACCGCCGTTCTTTTCCGCCCACTTCTTCTAGACGTTGTGGATGATGTCTCGTCTTGGCTGTCCCCCTGGCTACTGTAAGAGACCAGCCGAGCTTTCCTGGATGAGGCTCCCTTTTTCTTGCCGGTGGTTTTCGGGTTTGCTGGGTCTTGCACCCCTGGATTCTCCGTTGCTTGCACCCCTGGATTTGGAGCATCCAACTCGCCGCCTAGTGCCGGAATGGTGTCCTGGTCGGTTTCAGCTTCAGCCTCTGGTATTGCTGTTGCTGAGCGTTCTACTTGTGCTTCCGGAGTGGTCGTTACTTGTTGTGGAGTACGTTTTACCGAGATAATCGGTAGATCCTCACTGTCCTCCGATTCAGAGTAATTTTCTTCGAATCGGCGCCCGGTCCTCTTTCGATTCTTTTCCGCAGTCCGCTTGGTCCATCGTTCCTTCACGTCGCGCGGGGTTGGCGGTGGTAGTGTTGTTTGAGTAGCCCGTTTGTTCGCTTCGATCACTGGTACCGGTGGTACGGATTTGGCTGCGGTTCTTGATTTTTTCTTCGGTATGGGTTTCGTGGCCACTCCCGATTTCCTAAGCACAACTCCATTATCTAACGTCAGTGTATGTGCACTCTCAGATCTATTTTTAGAATGAACTGGTCTATACCTTTTTAAGTTTTTGTTTCCAGTGCGCTGAAACAATGATCCGGATGGTCCCGGTTGTCCTGCGGGATTTGAGCTTTTGCGTATTGACGGTTCGTCGTCCTGATTCCCAGCTTGATCCACAGTAAGGCGTCGTGCATGAGTTCTGTTTTTAATGTCATAGTCGAGATCTGATCGTACACCCCAGTTTGTGTCGGCTGGATGGGGCATATCTTGCACACTAGGATCGTCGTTATCTAAACAAGCATTTTTCGTTTTTAGTACCCGTGACCAATCCAGATTCTGCAACGATGGTTTTTTAGTAAGATTCCGTAAAACGGTGTTTGCTTCTCTACCATGATGAGCTTCAAAAGGCGAAATTCTAAGTGTTGAGTTTTTTGAGAATCTGAGAGCACCAAGGGCCCGTTCGACCATTTTCTCCAAGGGTTCAGGATTTTTTTCGTGAGCGAAAGTAAGGATTGAATTCTTAAGACTTCCAATAGTACGCTCGACACACCCGGTTGCCCGATGGTCGTTTACAGGTGATTTAATGATTTCAATGCCTTCCCCATTACAAAAAGCTTTGACCGCATTTGACATGAAATTAGTTCCCTGATCGATATGGATTTTCCGTGGCACCCCGTGGTTTGATATATAACTCTTCAAGAATTTCAATATTTTGTCCGAACGATTATTTCTACAGATCATTGCCGATGGCCAACGAGAGAACCGGTCGACCGCTACGAGCACATATTTAGAGGATTCATTTAAGTAATTAATGGGGCCCCAAAAATCTAATTGGACAGATTCATTCGGTTCTTTTGGTTCTGGTACAGATCCCAGTTGATTTTTACTTATTAGCGTCTTTAAGTTCTTACCGGCGGCAGTATATTCAGGGCACCCCTCGGCAATGGAGGCTATTGAGCGGTAGATATAGGGATACCAGACGTCCTTTGCGGCATCGAACATATTTGACTTCCCGTGATGGTACGCGTGTATTCTGTTATTGATTGCTGACTGGAGGTTAATTGGGATTGCTAATTTATCGTCCATCCAAACTACATTTTCCTTCACTGAGAAATCATTTACGAATTGAGCGTGATAGCGGCTCATTCGAGTAACTTTTTCATTTATTTCCGGGTCTTGTGTAACAATGAGATCGCGAATAGCGCTCAGTTGGGGGTCCGATACATAATTTGATTCTATGAATTTTAAGTTAAACAGGTCAGGTAATGCAGTAGTTTTATTAACGATCTTACAGTTTCGCGGGATAATCGACATACATACAAGGTTTGGGTCCACTGGTGGTACTGTTTCTCCTTTGAATTCCGAGGGTAACGAGAGAGTTGTATTTGTGCGTATCGATCTTGTCTCTTTGGTAATGGCTTCTAGTGATACATTTGGGGGCAATTCTTCGATTTCGTCGCTACTACTATTTAGGCTTGGATGCTGTTTGAGAAATTTCTGCCATTTGCGCATGTTTTGGTCCATGTTGTTATTCGGTTTAAAATTCTGAGGGCTGGATGTAAGAATATTCTGATTTTGAAGATTGGAATTGGATAATTTTGAACAACTGTGTTCTGAATGAATAATAGCCCCAACTAATCCAGCGCGCATGTCGCTTGGCCGTCGGTTTAAACCACGTGGTTGCATCTGATTGGTTGATTTCCGCTTACATGTTTTTCCGCCCTCTACCGAATCGTTATATGACGAAACTTCCAGTCTATTTATAGAAGGCTTTCTATTCGCTGTACAACTTTGTCCCTTGGATGTATTAGGTCCCCTGGATGTATTAAAGCCAAGCGCGGTGCGAATTAGGTTGATCTTTGCCACCGTGAACATATTATCATACGTACTAATTGGCGTTGCTTCTTTACTTGGATGCCGTGATAAATAGTCCGCCAAACCAATTTTAGCCCCCGGTTTATGCTCAATTTGAAAATCAAAGGGAATTAGTCGATCTAACCAGCGGGTTAAACGACTAAACATCGTTTTATTTTTCTTGTTATTACCGTTCAAAAGGGATATCAGGGCTTTATGATCGGTAACGATCAAAAAACTTCGGCCCAGTATGTAATTTCGAAAGTATTCAGCCCCCCACACAACTGCCAACATTTCCAATTCGTTTGTTGAGTATTTCTTTTCCGCCTCGTTAGGATATCGCGACGCGAACGAAATTGGGCGCCATCCTTCTGTTCCCAACTGTTCCAACACCGCGCCGAGCCCATTATGGCTTGCATCGCACACTATGCGTATGTCCTTGTGGATATCAAAGTGCCGTAATTCAACAATGTTTGAAACTTGTTTTTTTTAGATTTTCAAACGCGTTCTGACATTCAGGTGTCCAAATGTATTCGTTATTTTTGCTTAATAGGGGCCGCAGCGGTGCCGATGATTCGGCCAGCGCCGGCAGATACTTATGCAAACTATGTATCGACCCCATAAACGATTTTAATTGCGACAAAGTCCGTGGCGGCGTTAGTGCTTCTATTGGTTCTGTTTTTCTAACCAATGGAGTAATTCCAGTCGGAGTTATTTTATGTCCTAGCCATTCGCATTCTCGTTGGGCGAATTTGCATTTTGTCAATTTTAAAGACATATTTTCCCGATCCAGTTTCTTTAAAATTTTCTCCACCGTTGCTATGTGGTCTATTGCTGTTCCCTTGGTTACGACCAAAATGTCATCGATAAACGCATGCGCTTGCGGGTATTCGGCGAGTATACAATCCATTGCGCGTTGGAATTCCGCGGGCATTGTAGTGAGGCCATAGAATCCGGTTTTGAACCGGTATGTACCCGTCGAACGACCTCCAATTAGCGAAAAATTGCACTGGACGCTCGTCTCCGCATTTAATGGCAATTGGCCATAGGCGTATGTTAAATCCATTGTTGTGAAATATACGTCTACCTGTTTTTTTTCGCTAATCGTTTGCCCAACCGTGTCCATTAGTTCCTCGATGTTCGGCATCTGGTATTTATTCTTATGCACTTGTTTATTTAGTTCCCTCGACTCTAGTGCCAGTTTTACCGATCCATCCTTCTTTACGGTTATTACTATTGGAGACACAAAATATTTGTCCGAGCATTCAGATAATTTTTCGATATGACCCTGTTTCAATAATTTGTCAATTTCCGCATCCACTTTTTCTTGCAACGAAATCGGGACTCGACGCCCTTTCTGCTGTACTGGGGTGAGGTTTTCAAAAAATTCAGCTGCTACATTGTAGTTTCTTATTTTCCCTACCCTGCTAAAAAGATTTGAAAACTGCTTACTGAAGTACGTTTGCCACGAATCCAACTCCCCCTCTGGTTCCTCTAGTTCCAGTGCGTCTTGACTGCCCTCTCCAATGGACATGATTTGGTCCCCCGGTGTTTGCTGCACCAACTGGAGTCCTAGTTGGGGCATCAGATCCCTTCCAATTATTGATGGTCGGTTCCCCCCGATCACTTTTATCCTTGCCTGGATCTTCCAACCGTTGGATTGGATTGTTACTGCCATTGTTCCAATCATCTGTAGGGGATTGTTTCCATAATCCCGAAAAGCATTATCCTCCTCCGTCAGATTGTCCAGTTTTACTCCTGATGTTCCCAATGTTTCCGTAATTCCCCGATCGTAAAGATTGAGATTGGGGATCCGCTATCGATCCACACGCGAGTAGGTTTTCCATTGACTTTGATCGGCAATTGTGCCCCAGCAACTTTCAACTCTGTCACTCCTCTCCGTTTTATGGCCATAACCATATAGTCCCCGTCAGAACTGCTGGAGTCCCACGAGTGCACCACTGGATTTTTCGTGACCCATCCAATGGAACTTGCGTGTTGTGATGTTTCTTCGTCCGCAGAGTTTTCTAGTTGATGATCGTCCACATTCTCCCGTATCATTCCTACGGCTCCCTGTCCTCGTTGGTTTCCACGTTTACCCCTGCAGGTTCTTTCGAAATGGCCTATTTTATGGCAAAAATTGCATGTAACCCCTTTTGCTGGGCATCTGTCCAAATGTTCCCTGGTGAAGTTTTGCTGATCGCAATTATAACATTTGTTGTTATTTAGGGGATTTCTTCCTCGATATGATCCTCGGCCTTGGTAAGAGCCCCGGCCCCTTGAACGGTTGTTCGGGTAACCTCCCCGGATTATTCCAACTGGTTCCGATTTTATTTGGATTCCTCCCGATGATGATCCAGGGGTCCCCGCTGGTCCCGTGGCAACGTATGAGGATGCATACTTGCTACCCCTTTCGTACGAGAGAGCTATCCGGTACACCTCCTCAGGTGTTTTTGTCGATCTGCAGAGTTCTTTTTGTGCATCCCGATTGTTCATATTAACGATGAATACGTCTCTTAATATTCGGTCCTCTAGTGCTCCAAAATTGCACCGCGCTGCCAATCCGCTCAGTACGGAATGGAATTGCTCAAGACTTTCATTTATAAACTGCTTATGAGAAAGGAGTTGGTACGTTTCATATGTTTCGTTTCTTTCTTTCTTGAATTCCGCTTCCAGCGCGTCTATCATCCGTGGGTACCGAATTGTCTGAAGGTCCAGGTGTGGTCGTCGTTTGTGCAGTTCATCCTGCCCCTTCTCCACCAAACACAAGTACAGGTTCGAAATTAACACCATTTCCGATTCCCACCGATTTTTTCCGTCTACTTCCGCGGGCAAGTCAGTAATTTGTGCGGCTGTGAGATTCGCGGCGAAGTAAAAATTCATTGGATTTAGCGAGTGTTTGGCGACCATTCCCCATTGGAATCTGTTGATCCAGAATTCCCACATCATTGGCGGTTCCGTGCATTTTGCTGGCCAAAATCCCGTGATGCCCAGTGGATTCTTTCCCCCACCTAATCCTGCTGACTGCGCCATGTCGAGAAGGTAAAACTGTCGTCGAGCAATTGTTAATTCCGAGATAATTATACAGTAACTTAATCTTGCAAAGTTAGCATCAAGAGTGGTTAGAAACAATATCCAAGGGTGACAGACAGATCCAAGGACAAACACCTGCTAATCAATTAGTCTAGCACCAATAGTGAACATTTGATTGACAGCTTTGGAAATGAACTAAATTACTCAATACGACACAGGGCAAGGCCCTGAATATTCCGACTCCCCCTAACTGGTCTCGAATCAAACTGGTCTCGAATCAAACTGGTCTCCCCCTAACGGCCAAAATCAAAGATTATGTTCTAGCAATTGAGTCGTTTACGGAATTAATATGATCACTAGCATAAACATTCAGGGGCAGATCTAGGATTTTCTCGAGGGGTGGGGATTTTCAAAAAATTCAAAAATTTTTGTCGACCTATTTTTAGGTCGACCAAATTGATTTTCTTAGCTCTCCTAAATCACTATTAAGACCCCATTTTGTCCAAATTTTCTGCAACGCAGGGAAAACTTTGAAAAAAAACAGGCCAAAAAGGCGTTTTTAGGCAATTTTCGGAAAATTTTGACCACAAAAATCGCGTTTTTTCGGCGAGCGCTCCCCCCTCAAAACGAATGTATATTGGCGCCAAAGGCGCCTGTATAAAAGTTTTAAGGTTCGTCACCAAAAATGGATTTCTCAAAATAGTACAAAGGGGGCGCTTTGGGTCGGCAGGGGGTCAAATTCATGAGGAAAAGAGAACGTCCAACCCCCCGCCCCTCCCCCCCCCCCCCTAAATATGCTGGTGTATACATTCCAAACTTTATTTAAAAGGCGGAATTAAAATGGACTAAAAAATTGTGCTAGTATGGAGATATATGTGTTAGGATATTGCTTTACAATAAAAACTACAAAGGCAAAGATTTACAAATTGAATATGTTGATGATTTTTACCCGTTAGGATTAGACAAGATTTTTTAATCATAAAATTAAGCAAAACATACATTCAGATCATAAAAAAGGCTCAACAAAATATATTCATCAAGACAAAAGGTAGCTGCCAATTATTTTGAAGTTTTGATTGATGATTATTTGAATTGTCCCTCTTAATCTTCCGAATTTCGGAGAAAATGCGGGATATATAAGCTCGTGTGTTTTTTTATTCGGACCAATTTCATAGGTCCTGCGAGGTGTGCAAACTACTATACTAACCCGCCTTGAATCTTTAAAAACTGTTCGTTGAATAATTTATACGTGGCGAATTATCCCGCGCTGCAAAGTTGTTCCAAATTGAACTGAAGTAGCAAATTGGTCTGGACGACACAAATTTTAACGAATTTTAACGCTTAAAAATTAATATTATCAGCCATAAATGCTTAGCTTTGCCATTATTTTATTTACCAAATACTGTTCGAAACCAAAAAAAGGCAGTCAGAAGATTCAGAACGTTAGCTGATACGAGCTATCTTGTTATGTAATACTCCTAGCAAGTTAATTCTTTCTGAAATTTTTAAATAAAATTCTGGAGTACAAATTACCTCAAAGAGCAAGAAAATTGAGAACCTGAGTCGTGTAATTGAGTTTTTTTATATTGTTTATTGGATTCAGTTTTCACATACAAACTTGCGAAAATTATAATCAATTGTAAATGCAAAATGTTTTCAAAAACAAATGGTCATTGAGACAAAAGTAATTGGACGAGAAAACCAAAAACTTGATATTGCAATTGATTCTGTTTTCAAAGCTATCGTTTTAAATTACATTATGGTTGTTATTATAAATTCAATTTTTAAAGTTTTTTTAGTAAACTTAATTTTTGGCAGCATGTTGGGTGAGTTCGCCTGTCGATAAAAGTTCGTTTTTATTTCTAACAAAAATTCTAGGTTTTCTTAACGTAGAAGCAGATCTTTTCATTAACGCAGTGTTTTTTTAGACGACATCAAACAGCTAAGCTACGATGTGAAGAAACAAAAATCCAAACTGAAAGCAATCGAAGAACTCGGTCTGAGGATGAAGGACCAACTGATCCTGGACAACAGGTACACAGAGCACAACACACTCGCACTGGCTCAGGAGTGGGAACAGCTGGACCATCTCTGCCAGAGTATGCAGAGAAATCTGGAGTTGCAGAAGAACGCAAAGTAGGTTTTGGGTGATTTAGTTTCAGGGTATTTTCTGTTTTTGGGTTTTGTGGTTTTTGAAAATGGATGGCGGCTGTCAATGATCCGGTGCTGTAATTTTCACTGAAATATCTATGATTCAGTGCTGCAAATTACTAAAAACAACTTCAATTTATATAACTTTCATTCAAAGTTTTTATTTTGGTTCCTTTTTGGGTGGAGTCAGCATAGGGTAAAATATCCAAAAAAAAAGTTATCCAAAAGCGTTATTCAATTTCAGGGAGAGTGCTGGAGTGAAGGAGTCTACACTGATGGACTTCACGAAGATGTTCCGCCACTACGACTCCAACAGGGTGGGCATGCTCGACCACGACGACCTCAAGGCTTGTCTCAGGGCACTAGGGTAAGCGTAAAAACATTATCCACACACCCCTTTCCGTTAAACCACCTCCCCTTCATGACCTGAGTTCTTTAAAATGGCCGGAATTCTTTTTGCGTTCGAATTCGGGGAATAAAATGGCATGCATTTTCTCATCATCAGGATTACAATATTAAATAGAAAGTCTTTTTCCCATTATAGGCGTAATTCTGATTATACAAAAGCCACATTCTGATGAGGCTTTGTTTTTTGTATTATAGAGGGGCTATAATTGAATCGGGATAGGGGTGAGGTGGGGATAGGGAGGGGGTTGGTATTAAGAGGAAGAACCCAGTAAAGAAGTTGATTTATCGTATGCATATATATATATACATATCAGTGTTGTTGTATCTGCTCTGCTTGAACAGGTATGATCTGCCGATGTTGGAAGAGGGACAGATGGATGCAGACTTCGAACTCATTTTGGACTTCGTCGACCGAGAAAGGTGAACAACTACTGTTCGTTTAGATATTTAAATATTCAAGTATAACCTAAACTTCGCCATTCAAGTATAACTTATAGAAAATTCCCACTTGATTCTGGAAAACAAAGAGTTGTTTTTACTGGTGGGCAACACTTGAAAAAAATGGTACGAAACTCCACATCGTTTGAAACCCGGGAAGTAGCCACGGAGAGGGGTGGATTATGTTCCGCCCTACTTTGACTTACCTCTCAGATCCACCTCCGCTCTTAATCTTGAAAACAAGGGCGGAGTTCAGAATAGTACCAAATAGTGTATCTCCTTGGGCAATATTTTACGACATCCATTTTCAGCCAGTCGACCCTGAAATTTTTTTGGTACCAAGGCGCTTCTGGTACCAATGCATGCTTAACTTGAGGGAGGAGCTGCCTCCGGGAAAACCCTCTTTTTTGGTCAAAATCTTTCAAATAAGTTCACAATTTTTTTTCAAAAACTCAATTGCAAAAAGGCCTGCCTTTGTGGTGTTTGGGGAGAGCTCGGAAAATCATCTTGGTCGACCAAATGGAAAAAAACACAGGTCGACAAAGTAGTTTTTTAGCCTTTTCTTTGGTCGGCTAAGTTCATTGTTCGAGTGCTCGCCATAAGTTATAATGAACCTATTCTGCCAAAAAAGTTATGACTGCGCTTTTGTTTGTATTTCACTTTTGTTGTTTTTTCTCTGCGGGAAAAGCGTCATCGTCTTCTTGTTTCGAAAGTGGATATTTTTTAAAATTTTCCAGCGGAATAAATAGTTTATGTAATGATCCAATTTTATAAATTGAGTCAAATGTATCAAAAAAGGTCAATGATGATGAATTCTCTTTTGGAAATTCAAAGGAATTCTTGCGTTCATTGAATCATTTCCAGCGCTCTGTTGGCTGGTGGCTATGTGTTTTTTTTCTTCAAGCTTTTCATTTTTTGTCTGCAGAAAGGGCTACGTGACTCTTCAAGACTACACCGACTTCCTCATCATGAAAGAGACTGACGTGGTAAATAATAGGGAGGAAGTGCTGGATGCATTCGCCACTCTGGACACTGAGGCTCACAACTACCTCACAATCTCCGAACTCACCCAGGTACAACGTCTATTCCAGTGATGCTTGTGAGTCCCAGCAAAAATACCTCGTGCTTGTTTTTACTTTCCCTTGCGGAGATATCACAAAAAAACATCAAAAAATATGACTTTGGTTTATATCTGGCATCAAAATAAAAAGGAATCGTTTGGGAATCGAACATGTGACCTTCGGCATCGCGGCTCACCAGGGCCTAAAATCTATTTTTTTGTCTAATTTCAGCACCTGGATAAAGAAACAGCCGACTACTGCATAAAACACATGAAGCCATTCATAGATAAGAACGGGTGTCTAGTCGAAAACAGCCGAGACTACGCCGAGTTCTGTGAACGAGTTTTCTCCAGATGATCAAAAAACTGATTTGAAAACAAGTTTTATTGAAACTGAATTTGATTTTTGTATATTTTGTACTCTATTTGTAAATACGCTTTATGAAAACAGAAGTATTTCAATTGTTTCGGGTAAAAGTTTTAATTTTTGAAGAAGCAGTGAGCATCAATCCTTGACATTATCAAATATAAAAATTCCTTTTAAACATTGATAGCGTTTGCATATTGAATCCATCGAAAAAAAATTAAATATAACCTAAAATTCGCCATTCAAGTATAACTAATAGAAAACTCCCACTTTTTTCTGGAAAAACAAAGAATGGTTTTTACTTATGGGCATCACTTGAAAAAAAAATGGTAGGAGATTATCAAGTCGTCCGACTTGTTTTAATCCTCTTCAGTTAGGCAAAAACTATCTGTAATCAAAACGGCATATTAAGAAAAAGACACGCAAGAGATCTTTTCAATCATTGTAGACATCTACAACTTAAATCAAACTTAGAAGTCACAATTCACAAAAAACTAATAGTCAATTCCCACTTGATTCTGGAAAAACAAAGAATTGTTTTTACTCTTGCACATCATTGAAACAAGTGGTAGGAGATTATTAGGTCTTGCGACTTGTTCTAATCCTCTTCAGGAAGGCAAAATTTATATGTAATCGAAACGACATATTAAGAAAAAGACACGCAAGAGATTCATTTAATCATTGTAGACTGTAACCATTTTACTCGTCCACATTTGAAAAAAATGGTAAGAGATTATCAAGTCTTGCGACTTGTTTTAATCCTCTTCAAGAAGGCAAAAGCTTTCTGTAATCAAAACAGCACATTAAAAAAATAGCCGCAAATATTTAGTTCAGTCTATTTAGTCACACAAAAAATTGACATTTAACAATTATTGGTTCACACAAAACAATGTATTAACTATATATTATTGAAAAACTTGAAAATTAGTTTTCAATTTGTTTTCAATTTGTCTTGATTTGTTTTCAAGAGAAATAAAAAAAATTCGAAAAAAAAGTTTATAATTTTGCTACCTATATTTTGACTATAATTTAACTATTTGCCTAGAAATAGAGAACTTCCCGTATATACCACAATAAAATTTTTACGCTAGCGATTTTAAGTGAACGGAGTGCAATAGTACGACTACTAGTTTTTTTTCTAGCCTAAGTCGCAAAATTTGGTGCCATTTTTAGTGGCACCTTTACAACTTTCTTAAAGGATGTTTTTTTCACAGTTTAATAGCAATGAGTTAACACAGTTGACGCATTTCTATTTCATCGAAAGAAGCAAAAAAAGCAATTTGTTTCAAACCAGATAGCAATTAAAAAAACTCGACTCTAGATATTTGCCTACTCAATGTGTCTCGCAATTTTTTGAAGTGCATAATTTATCCATAATGTATTTTGATGCTTTTCAATTTATTATATGCAAAATTAGAGCGAATACCATCAGTTTGTTATGTACTAAATTTGTACTCGTTCTAGTTTTATTTAGCATCTATTTTTAATTGCGTCAATTTTTATTTAAAAACACTTATGCTGCATCGCATTGGCAATTTATCAGCATATGTATCTCCATTATGTGTCACTTATGTTTGCTGATTGTTAAGTGTTTTTGACCGAGAGCGCAAGCCGTGAGACTCCAATACTCAAATCCGAAACAAAGCAAAGTCTTACTAATTCGAGACTTAGTTTGACTATTTTTTCACTTTATACAGCTACTTTTTTGTCGTGTTCTGGCTAATTTTTACGAAACGCCTAATACTAGTTGAACAAAAAACCTTAAAAACACATTAAAAAATCATTAAAAGATGAATCATTTGAATCATTAAACGAAATAGAAAAACACCATTAAAAATCCTTAAAAGATGAATCATTTGAATCATTGAACAAAATAGAAAAACATCATTAAAAATCCTTAAAAGATGAATCATTTGAATCATTGAACAAAATAGAAACCGAGAGATTTTTGAATTGCACTTGATCCATTTTTTTAATTTGGCTAATTTTTATCAAAAAACGTCAGTCATAATACTTCGTTGAAATTCAAAGAGCTTCGAATTGTAAATACTTTTTTCTTTGAAGTATAACCAGTGAAAAATCAGCCTTTTTCTCAATTTATTTTTAAAAATTTCGTCGTTCTTTCTCCATTTTCAAACCTTTTCTCAGCTATGATTTTTTTGTTTCCGAAATCGAGTTAAAAATTTGAGAATTTTTTTTAATATAAGGAGTTCAGTGATGCAGCTGTTATTTTTTATTTGGATTTTGATCTGCATAAAAAATGGTAAGGTTGGCTAAGTTGACGCTATCAGATTTTATTTCGAAAGGGTTATCACTGAAACAGATGATAAGTCTCTAATCTGACTGTTGAAGAAACGCGGATTATTAACATATGGGGTATTTTTTTACTCCATCAAACTTCAGCGATCAAAATTGTTATTTACAAAAAAATTAATATCATATCTGCATATATCATAGACTTGTTTGTGCGCGCTGCATATTACTGATTTATGTGGCTGAAACCTAATGCGTAGCGAATCGTCCCGGGGTACATACTTGTTCCAAATTGAAATGAGGCAAACTCATTGGTCGTAAATATTGCTACTACTCGGACTTTTACACTTGAGTCATGTTTGACAGAGTCCAAAAATTGTAGTTTTTTAAAATGTTTTCATATCAGCAACCATTGAAACCAATATCAGCTTTGCCTTGATATACGAGCAGTGTTGTTCCCTTTAATGCTGAAAAATAATCATTTTCTCCAAAAATACCATGGGACAAAACTTTATTGGCAAAACTTCACAAGTTTGTTGAAGTTGAGTACGCCAAACTAATTACAATTGAAAATTTAATTAGCAAGTTTTTTTTCGCTTCTGGGAAACTTAAAGCAAAGTTGCCCAAATTTATCAGCCAACGCTAAAAATTAGGAGGAAAACAGAAGTCATGTCACTGATTTTCAATGTTGATCAAAGTACCATTGCAACTGCAGATGAAACTTGATACTATAAGATGTATTCCCTTTTCATATCAACAGCTCATTGCCTTGGAGATGAAATCATAAGCTGCATGCTCAAAAGTGTCTTCGCCGATTTAAACCAATACAAAAAGGACATAGAAAAGAAGAGGATATCCGTCAGAGTTGTCATCAACCACGCAAAATTCAAATTTTTGGCTCCAATGTACGACATTGCATTTCTGTGGTGCATATACAAAGCAGTCCAATACAAAATAGTCCAATACAAAATAGTCCGAAAAATAATGTAATGGAGGAAAAAAACAGTCCAATACAAAACAGTCCGGTTTAAGGTCACCGGTTGGCGCGCTTCGCGGCGATAACCGGATCTAAATTTCGTATTAAGTCCTACCCTCTGTTGGCAAGCTCGCAACAGGTTGGCGCGACTGCGGCGGTCACTATTTTGTTCATTATGTTTGTTGAACAAGGGACAATTCTCGGCCTACCGGCTTCTTAAAACAATTATTATTTGGGACTGTTAATCGGACTGGTTTTGTTCCGACTTTCGATACGAAAGTAACGGAATATTTGTGCTCGGGGTGGGTTTTTTTTTCTTCAGACAAATTTCGACTTTTTAACTAGCCATTTTTGACGGAATTTTTTTATATCATTCGAAAGGTATTGTTGTCCTGAGCTCAAATTTGAAAAGAAATTTCACCTGTGATCATTTTTCGTAAAGTTACGGGGGTTTAAAGATTGGCCTTTTGGCCAATTTGGTACAATTAACGCGCGATATATTTCGCGCTATTAACGCGTAAGCGGAGAGTTAATCCGTCTTAGAAATAGTTCCAAATTGGTGAAAAGAACCTTATTTGCCATAATTGGTTTGTTACAAGGAGTAAAATCTATCCTTTTGTACTTTATGTGGCGTGTGGGGGATGATTTTCAAAAAAAATTCAAATTTAAGAAGAAAAAAATTTTTATTTTTGTTTTATTGAATTTTTTTATGTTATTACTGCTCCATAAACCTTAAAAGGCAGTCGGAACATTCAAGAATTCGCCCTGATACTAGCAGTCTTGTTTTGTTCATTTTCATACTTTTCCGGACTGTTTTGTATTGGACTGTTTTGTTGGGGACTGTTTGTACAGACACGCGTTTCTGTTAATGAAGAAATCGCTTTCATTTAATCGCTTGATTCAGCCTATCTCTGTCACTTGAGTTTATTGATGTGGCGCAAGATCAACAAGACTGCTCGTATCAAGGCGAAGCCCTGAATGTTCCGACTGCCTTTTAAGGTTTATGGAGCAGTAATAACATTAAAAAATTCAATGAAATAAAACAAAATGAAAAATTTTTTTTCTTCTAAAATTTGAAATTTTTCATGAAAATCATCCCCCCACACGCCATATAAAGTACAAAAGGATAAATTTCGCTCCTTGTAACAAACCAATTATGCCAAATAAGCTTCTTTTAACCATTTTGGAACGATTTCTAAGACGGATTAACTCTCCGATAACGCGTTAATAGCGCGAAATAAATCGCGCGTTAATTGTCCCAAATTGGCCAAAATGGCAATCTTTAAACCCCCATAACTTTACGAAAAAAGATCACAGGTGAATTATCTTTTCAAATTTGAGCTCAGGACAAGAATACCTTCCGAATGATATCAAAAAATTCCGTCAAAAATGGCTAGTTAAAAAGTCGAAATTTGTCTGAAGAAAAAAAAACCCACCCCGAGCACAAATATTCCGTTACTTTCGTATCGAAAGTCGGAACAATAACATTGGGGTGGGAAGATACCCGAGGGAGATTTGCACTATCCGACATCTAGAAACAATTAGAAGCCGATGTGTTTATTTTTGAATTTCGTCATCAAAGGTACCCAGACAAATTTAAAAGTGGGATGTTGTGCGCTGGATTACGGAATCTTGGTAATCGGGATGCTTGTAGCGGAGATTCTGGAGTTCCTCTGGTGCTTAAGAATGTAGACGGAGTCTTTTAACTCTAAGGAATAGTGTGATGGGGATATGGTTGCGGACAAGAGGACTAACCCACAAATTGCACTAAAATTAAACTTCATGATTTTTGGATCAAAAAACTAGCTGGGGAATTTAAACGGCCAGAAAGGTTTACAACGCTGAAGTAGTCAATTAAATTGGTGAAAGTTAGTCAAATTG